TTCTTCTCACTTAGTGCATCACGGGCTTTCAACACATCATCAATCTGGGCTCTCTGAAGCACTGTCACTATGCACATAACTTTTTAAATTAATCCACTTCAAGAAACAAAATAAAACTTATGTTCTTAGTCAGTATTATATACTTGCTTTGAGTACTTATGGAAAAAAAAAAAGACTTGTGAAAGTATAAATTAAACATAGTAGAACTACTGTCTTACGACAAAGAATGAAATACTCTGATAAGTATAACCCAATTTAAAAAATGAATACAGGTCAAATGATTCCGTTCTTGTTGTTCACAAGACAAACATATAGGTCAGAATGATCAAGGAGTGGAACTGCAATTAAAATTAAAGAATATATTTAAATCAAATGCAAGAAAAATATTTTTAACAGGGATAGCTGCTTCAGAGCTATTCCACAGGTGAATACAATTGGGAAACACCATCACTTCAGATATTAAACAGTAACAGTAAATATACAATAGAAAATAAACTTCTTATGGAAGACAGATGAAAAGAACCATGAAATAATCTTCTTTACCTACCAATGGTATTCTAATAAACTTATTTCTTAAAGACAGCTGAATGCAGTCATCCCTGAAATTCTCCCTGCCTGTCTCTTAATAAACAGAATAGTGAAAAAGACTACAGCTAAACAGGCTAGTTTTTGTAAAACCCGGAGACGCACAGTCTTTGTGATTGGCTTCTGACTTACAGAGCTCAGCAGTCTCATTACTGTAATGGGCTGGTATTTGACAACTCCTTCCATCTAAGTTGTCACACAGTTGCTGACAGCTACTGGACAATGTTACAAAACCTTTTCCTTCCTAACTACAACCAAAGATACCAACGGTAGGAGATCTTCTTACAGCAGATTCCAAAAGTCATACCTAGCTCATTCTTACTCCTCATCGTCCTTGCCTCACTTTTGTGGTGATCATGCTGTCCTCTTTCCTCTCTTGGTAAACAGCCAGACATCCTCCTTTCAGGTACAGAAAAAGTCAGACATCAAGTCTTTGTCATTGTAAGCAGAAA